TTTTTTCCCATTACTATGTTAAGTTAATCCTTCTATAAAACATTAGACCAAAATTCAAAAGACAAACAACTGAACAAACATTTCTACTCAAAGAGCCATGGAAATAGAAAACTCGTTATTAGTTATGTATACAAAAGCCATACACTGCATGGATTTGAGAGTTATAACAAATACACTAGAACACATCCAATTCAGGAACTTATTTTGTTTAAATCACGCTACCTGAAATACTCCTTCAAAATTCAGCTTACATCTCACCACTTTCAGAAAGCCTCCTCTGATCATTCATCTATAGTATTGTCCATTATTTTTGCATCTGGAAATCACTAAGGGCCTGTATCAGAAAAGATACCGACTGATAACTTACTTATAGGCAACACACGTCTGCATACGTGCTTAGTTTGGCCTACATCATGTTTCTTAAAACAAAAACCAGAGACCAAAATAATTAGGACATTTCACACAAAAGTCCAGGATTTCTGACTTGCAGGTTTTTCATTCCCTCTCAGGGACCCAGCTAACAAAGATCTCCATGCTTCCTTGATTACCAGGACAGGCAAATCATACTTAAAGCTTCCACATAAAAGTGACCTATTAATTTCCAACTCACATTCCATTGGTCAAAGCAAAATCACGTTCAGGCTAACTTAAAACATGATGGAGAAGTAAAATCCTACTATGTGCCTGAAAGGTTAAAAGTCAGAAGTATTTCATATAATTGAGGACTCTGACTTCAATCTCTTCCTTTCTATCTATTCTGCAAACTACCACTAGAATTACTTTTCAAGAATACAGATTGAATTACCTCGTAACTCTGCTACAAAAAAAAAAAAAAAGTTTATAAACTATAATGCCTATGGGGAGAAAAAGCAAGAATCAACAGGAATGGCATTCAACCCTTTCACAATCTACTCCAAATTCATTTACCAGATTCTTTCCTCACTGTTTTCCCTTATATCACTTATTCTCCAATATTTTGAATATGTGTTGCCATATACTCATTCCAAAGTTTAGCTCAAACATCATCTTCTCAATTCAGTCTTATTTACCTTTATTGTGTAAAAAGTTAGAAACCCCACATCCACTCTACTTACAAATCATACTGTTTTTAATGAGCACCAGTATCCACTCAAAGTAGTTAATATGTGCCAAGCACTTAAACATAATTGCTATGCGTCTACTAAAATGTAAGATACCTAGGTTAAGTAACAATGTTCTTAGAAAATCAATATACTGGCCTAACAATTTCAAATACAAGACAAGCCAACAGATGCTACCGACATTTTACTTAAGAATTCATTTACTTTTGGGGTGCCTGGGTGGCTCAGCTGGTTAAGCATCCCACTCTTCATTTTGGCTCAGGTCATGATCTCATGGTTTGTTTGTTCAAGCCCCACATCAGGCTCTGCACTGACGGTGCGGAGCCTGCTTGGGATTCTCTGTCTCTCTCTCTCTCCCCCAAAATAAATAAATTATAAAAGAAAAAAAAGAATTCATTTACTTTTAAGCTTGAGAAGATTAAAATCTGAAAAGACTGCCCTGTTTCTAAAGCTAAAATAGACCCAAAGACTTAAACTAAAACTTTAAGAGACTGGAGATTATGCTTTAGCTATACCTATCTCTTGAGTTTTGTCCTCACAGCTTGCAGAAAGGTTAGTAGTCAAGACCTAAGTTGGGATAGTTATAAAGACAATCAAGTAGCCAAATTTACAACAGTACATGCATTTAATAAATCATCTCACGTCTTACAGTAATTTCATGTTTGTAAGCACGTTAGCAAATAAAAAAATACATTTGAAATTTAAAGCCACTAGTTTACAAAGTTTAATAGTTCTAATAAAACATCTGCTTGTTTCTACTTCAAATTACTGATAGGTTTATATAGGAGACTGTGGATAGATTTAATGATGTTAGCCTATCACTGTTCAAGTATTAACATTTAAAAATGTAATATTTAGGGGTGCCTGGGTGGCTCAGTCGGTTAAGTGACTGACTTCGGCTCAGGTCATGATCTCACAGTTTGTGGGTTCGAGCCCCGCATTGGGCTCTGTGCTGACAGCCCAGAGCCTGGAGCCTGTTTCAGATTCTGTGTCTCCCTCTCTCTCTGCCCCTCCCCTGTTCACGCTCTGTCTCTGTCTCAAGAATAAATAAACATTTAAAAAAAAGTTTTTTTAAATGTAGTATTTAAAAAAAATAAAGCTTCTAGTTGTTTTGTAGGTATGGACACGATAATGAAGAACTAGGAAAAAGTACCAAGGTAAAGTTTTAATAAAGACATTGTGAACAGTTTTAAAATAATGAAGCCCAGTGAAAAGGGAACTAAAGTAGGTCAATAGATTTGGCAATTTGAGCAATTCCAAAATAGTAATGCAAGAGGCCAGTATATAACCTCACAAGAGTCGATAAAGGAAGTAGAATCTTTGAGTATAAGCTGTTGCTTTAGAAATTTTAGAAATAAATGTAAGAAAAGGCTTAATGGCAGAATGCAGTGAAGTTTTGTTGTTTCTGGATACAGAAGACAAACATTTTTGTAGGCAGAGAAAGGGGTCAATTGAAAAGTGCAAAGTTTCAAGAGAGGATGGGATCAGAGAATAAGTGGAAAGATTAGCCATGGAGAAAAGAAAATCACTTAATTTCAGGGACAGTTAAGAGTTGTTAAGATGAAGAACTCTCTTCTGATCGTAGTCTCATGTTTTAAAAGGGCCATCTGCAAACTTACCAGCAAGTATTCTGCCCCTATTTATAACGACATTATGACTTTTCTGTTAAATAGTAAGAAAGTAACATTCCCCATTTATTTTTGGAGGGATAAAGCACCTTATGTCTCCTTTTTTACTTTTATTGGCTACTATCCATTATTGAATGGAAAGAGTAGTTATTACCAATCCAAATATCTTTGTCTTTATTAAAAATAAACAATACACAACATTTTATTCCTGTTTATTGAAAAGTAACACACATTTGTTATGATAACATTATTTGTTATTATAACACTTGTTGCAAAAGTAACACTTAAGTATTTGTCAAATAAGTCTAGAACAAGAGTAAAATAAAATGTTAAGAAAAAAATTAATCATTGCACACTAGTATTAGATAAAGGAGATATCACAGAAATTAGCACTCCACAAATTCTCCCTTAAGAGTTTGTCATCTAACTGGGAAGATGAAATACATACATGAAATAACAGATTCTCAAACAACATATTTTTAAGTTCAAAAAAGAATACAGAGGACACATGAGGCGATTAAGTATCAGAAACCAAGGAGAAGTTATTGAACCAAACTTAAGTTTTTCACTTACTGCAAAGGTTTGCAGTGGTCACTGAGATACAATATAGCTCAATCTGTGGTCAATAAAACCTTGTTTCACGTCCAGAAATTTCCCCAGCATGGATTTGGATTTCCAGCATGGATATATAATTTATTGCATCTAATGCTTAAGAAAAATTACTTTGGTATTTAAATTTGCTGCAACTTCCACTAAGGCAAAAAAAGAAAAAGAATTCTACACTTTCATATGCCTTAATGTTGTTATTGCTCATTTCAGAATACATTAGGGAATTCTAGAAGTTATCTAGAATGCTTATAAAAGTATGGACACAGCTTTGGAAGGGTCAAATTCAGAGAGGCTCAGGCCTCTTAGAATGGATTACACAGCTCTTACAAAAATGAAGAATCATAAAGAAACATGCTGACAGTAAATGAACCTGAGAAATATTCAACACTAATAAAAGTAAAAACAGCTGCTGTCTACACAAGGATGCAATACAGAATCACAAAATGATTCCAGTTTTCTAACAGGAGAAAGTTTATTAGTAGAAGCCATAATAGATCTACTCAAGGAATTTAGGTAAAAGTGCCTCCACACTGAAAATACCATGAAATCCCAAACAAAACTTTCTTTCACCAAATACAGACTACTTTAAATGAAGGAAGACAAACTCACTGCCAGTGATATGGAAATGAGGGAAAGCTGGTAACTAAAAAAAACGGTTATAAAGATAGGTTATAAAAATATTCTCGGGTCTACAAACCAGCCCCAACAGAAGGCAAAAATTAATAATAATAATAATAATAATAAATAAAAATAATTAAAAAAATATTCCCAGGGGTGCCTGGCTGGCTCAGTCAGAAGAGCATGCAAGTCTTGATCTCAGGGTTGTGGGTTCAAGCCCCACACTGGGTGTAGAGATTACTAAGAAAATAAATAAACTTTAGGAAAAAAAAATTCCCAAAATTTGGTCATTAAACAACATATTACATAAAAGTCTCAGGAAAAGAATAACACATAGTTATCACTTTTGTGAATGGAGGACTGGAAAGATAATCAGTGCAGAACTCAAAAAATGGCAAAAGTTTCTTCTTCAGCTAAAAGCAGAATAAATACTTTGAGACAAAAAAAAAAAAAATCTATCTACAGACTGTTTGCCCAACAGCATGAAGGTAAATATAGTATTAAAAGTGAAAACAAATTTAGTTTTAATAGGAATGTAAGAAACCGTATATACCAAATTTAAAAAACAAGAGATATTACATATTAATTCACCCATGTATCATAACTACTATAAGGAATCCATCAGTTTTAAAATTGTACATACAAACATTCTATGGGTCAGTTTTCTCAATGTTGCCAAGAGGATGCCATGTTTACTTTTTCATGTGCTACTTCTAAAATCTACATTGTAAACCCAGAAATAAGATATTTTGAGTCCTTTTTTTTTTTTTACTAAAAGGCAAGATTGACAATTCTCACATACACTCAAATTTTAAATTAAAAAGTAGAAAATTCTTATTCCTAGGAGAAAATAATTAAGATAATAGAAAATGTTCTCCACATGTTATTTACTGTTGCAATACAACAACCAGGAATAAGGTAAGCTTCTTAACATAAGGTTATCTGTGAGACAATTTCTTGGGAGTGATTTCTTTCTCTTTGGGTAACTAGAGAAAGACATGTAGTTTACACACACAAAAAATACTAAAGGTCTATATATACTAACCTGGCCCAGTCCAGGCATACCTCCTCCAAGTCTAAGAAGTCTGTCCATATTTCTAGGAAACAGAAACAAAGGAAAACGTTCCTAAGCACAAAAGTGTTTACTCAATTGCTATCTATATAATTCACCTTCAGTCACTCAGTATGTCAAAAATATTGGTGGTAATTACAACACAACATCAGACTTCCTGTTAATTAACACCACATATTAATTCAAGAAGCTGTCTTCCATGCTAATTAACAGACCTTACTTTACTGCTTTGGTTTTGGGTTATCCCCGATTTTAAAGACAAGCAATCTTAGCATACTTTCAAAACTTTGCTATCATTAAGTTAATTATATTTTCTCATTGTTATCTAATAAAGTACCCGAATGAGGAAAAAGTGCCTGAAATGCTTATCATATGTATGATTGAATTTCCTTCAATTTGTCCAGAGTATACAAATAAAAATCCTCACTTTTAAATTAAATTTTAACATCCTCATTAGTAAGTTCTGTGCTAATTAACTTACAGCTTGTCAGTTATCATCAAAACTACATGTGAAAGACATTGTGAGCAGATTATGGATCTCTGAATTAGCATCAAAGCCTTTTTTAAAATGAACTCATTATACTAAAAGAAATATTATAAAGTAAACATTAAAAGCATGAAGATAGTGTTCTAGAACCTACGCAGACATTTTGCATTATTTCAGATGTTGTGTAGACATATACCTTTTTCACTGAGGAAATTCAACTGCTGTCTCAATTATAATTTTAGAGTTAATCAATACAAAGATTAATTTTATCAATCTAGAATAACTATAGAAGACATTCTTATAAGCTTGAAAAACTCAGAAGAAAAATCAAAGAAATAGCAAGAGTACCAATATGGCCTCAAATGAAAAAAAAGAGTAACCAAATGATAAAGAATTAATATCAGTACAGCTAAATGTTGTTAAATGTTAAACATGGCAATGAAGCACTTCTTCTACCTGAAAATCACTAGTGCCTTATTATTTCCTTTTCTTTCTAAATATATGCTTTAGTGGGGCGCCTGGGTGGCTCAGTCGGTTAAGCGTCCGACTTCAACTCAGGTCACGATCTCGCGGTCCAGGAGTTCGAGCCCCGTGTCGGGCTCTGGGCTGATGGCTTGGAGCCTGGAGCCTGCTTCAAATTCTGTCTCCCTCTCTCTCTGCCCCTCCCCTGTTCACGCTCTGTCTCTCTCTGTCTCAAAAATAAATAAACGTTAAAAAAAAATTTTTTTTAATAAAAAAAATTAAAAAAAATAAATGTATGCTTTAGAAAATGGTATTACAATTTATATTCTATATTAAATGCTAACAAATTAGTCATCTGTTCATGTTATTTTACTAGTTAGAACTGCTATACAAACTAAAACTTAATAATATACTCAAGATCATTACAGCCTAATCATTTTTGCTGAATCTTGCTAACAATTTACTTCTATATTTAACAATGTTAATACTCTAAACTTTACTCAAGTCCACATATAGGAAACTTGCACAAATGATATAGGCATGGAATCTTCACAAAGTGAATACTCTCCCGTAACCACCACCTAGATAAAGAAACAACATTATCAGCACCTAAAAACACCTGTCATGCCCCTTTTTCCAGTCCCTACCACCACGCAAAGATAGAATTCCAACTTCTAATGGCATAAACTAGTTGTTTTTGAATTTTATATAAACAATTTATAAACAACTTTATATCAACAAGTCTGTGAGATTCACAATGGATAAATTCACTTTAAAAAAAGAAAGGCACTGGGGCGCCTGGGTGGCGCAGTCGGTTAAGCGTCCGACTTCAGCCAGGTCACGATCTCGCGGTCCGTGAGTTCGAGCCCCGCATCGGCTCTGGGCTGACGGCTCAGAGCCTGGAGCCTGTTTCTGATTCTGTGTCTCCCTCTCTGCCCCTCCCCCGTTCATGCTCTGTCTCTCTCTGTCCCAAAAAAAATAAATAAAAACGTTGAAAAAAAAAAAATTAAAAAAAAAAAAAAAAGAAAGGCACACAAGAAAACTTGATAGTCCAGATAAAATTTCTGCTTTACAACGTTAACACATCCTCCTAATAGCAACATTTACAAACAAAACCTCCATCAAATTCTCATTAAAATTCCTCAACTCAAATATAGCATTCAATACATGGCACTTTTTAAAGTCTATAAACGGGGGGTGGGGGGAACCTGAATATTTTAAAATATTAAAGACATTTCTCTAGAATATATTACCAAAGGAAAAAATTCTTTTGTACCATTTCTAGCTTATAAACTTAAAGAAGAAATGGTAAGAAAACTAATAACATACAGTATACTTTAGACATTATATACATTCCAGGCCAAAGTCGATTCCCAGCTGTGTTCAGTTTATCTATTTCCCCTGTGTTGTTTCTGATGACTTTACACAGACTCCAGATGCTGTGAATATACATGAGCGATGTGGGGAGCAGAGGGAAAGAAAATCTGGCAGGTCAAATTTGTGTTTTTAGCAAAATTAGATGTCTCAGCAAACAGGAAAAAATATTTAACTAAAACAGTTTAGATAACATAATGAGGTTTAACAAAAATATTAACATTTAGAAATGAAATACATTGATAAAGGTTCTAAATCACACTACTTTTTAAAAAAATTTTAATGTTTATGTACTTATCTTTTGAGATAGAGAGTGAGAGAAAGCAAGCCAGGGAGGGGCAGAGAGAAATCCCAAGCAGGCTCTGCGCGATCAGCATAGAGCCTGACGTGGGGCTCAAACTCATGAACTGTGAGATCATGACCCCAGACGAAACCTAGAGTCGGAGTCACCCAGGCACCCTAAATCACACTACTTTTTAAAAGAGTTTATAGAAAGCAAATAAGAACAAAAATGCTAGTTATCCAAATGACTTTCATGAGCTCTTAAATCTGGTCATCTATCACTTATTTATAATTTGATGTATGTTAAAAAAAAGGATACATTTTCTGTTTTTTTTAAAAGATACATTTTCATATATCATATCCTAAAAACAGTAGGCAAAAATTATATACATTCTTAATTCTCACCTGGTCAGTAACTACAACTCTTGTGGTGTTAAGCTTCAATTCGTTGTTTGACAAATTTCTTCTTAAGCTCCTGCTAATACTGACAGGTATAACTTTTCCCAAGTACTTTTTTTCTCTCTCTCTCCTAGAAAAGTAAATAAGATAAGATATGATTACTTTGAGAACTATGGAGGAAAATATGCCAAGAGCTTTAAATGAAGCAAAATTCCTAAAATTGAAATAGAACTCAAAATTGATTTTTAATCACCAACTTCAGAAGAATATGGAAGAAATAGCATCCCAGAGAGCAACAGAGCAAAGGATTGACCCCACATCCAAATTTTGTTCCTAAGTTTCTCTTTTGAGCAGTTTTAGTTATATGTAAGGATTGACATTTTATGACTTTTAGTCTTTCTAGAGGTGTTTCAAAGACCAGAGAAAACTTACTCATATTTTTAAATAGAACATTCTATTGTGCAATCACTATATAGGTCCACTGCACATTACATACAAACCTATGATGTACTATGGAATCTTAGTAATGTTATTTTTCCTATATTTCAAAGTTTGCTATTTCATTATCATAGGAATTTGTTTGTCATTTCTTAGTCAGTTATTCCTAACTACACCAAAAAGACTAAAAAAAAAAAAAAACAAGAAAATGGAAGAATAAGAATTATCCAAAATGATGCAATAGTGAAATACATTATTGCTATTGCTTCATCCTTCACTTCTTATTGTGCTGTCCAAAGCATTTACCACTTTTCAAAAACACATAAAGGACAAGAGACATCACCTTTGTAGTCTTTTTAGCTTTCATTTGAGCACAGCTAAGAATTCAGAACTTTGCATATTATACTCATAATGTCCAAGAGAAAACTGACAGAGAAAAAAAGTTTCGCAATTATTAGAGAATCACAAGGTGAATGTAAAAACAGGTAACATTCTAGTCTCTAACAATAACAATAAAATTGGTGGTATAAGCCAGGGTTTCTTCAGCACTATTGACATTTAGAACCAAATTTCTTGTTACAGGGGGCTGTCTTGTGCATCACAGGATGTTTTGCAGCATCCCTGGCCTCTACCCATTAGGTACCGTTAATACGTACCAAGTCGTGATAATCAAAAATGTCCCCAGACATTGCCAAATGTCTGCTGGAAGGGCAAAAATCACTCCCAGTTCAGAACCACTGATATAAACAAAATCTCAGGCTATACATCTTCAAATGACAATACCCTAGATCTTCTCGATCTTAAGAACTTAAGATCTTAAGATCTTCTCGAACTTAAGAACCAATCATCGCTGGAAACAGTTTGGGAACTCTTCAAAAAGTTCAACAAAGAATGATCATATGACCCAGCAATTCCACTCCTAGGTATATATCCAAAAGAACTGAAAATAGGTATTGAAAACAAACTCTTGTACTTGCAGATTTATAGCATCACTATTCACAACAGCCCAACGATGGAATCAACCCAAATGTCCATCAAAAGATGGAAGGATAAACAAATTCACATGATGGAATATTATTAAGCTATAAAAAGGAATGTAGTACCATCACCTTATATTATGAATGAACCTCAAAACATTATGCTATATAAAAGAAGCCATGCACAAAGGTCACAAACTGTATGATTTCATTTACATTAAATATCCCAAATATATGAATCCATAGAAAAGGAATGCAGATTAGTGATTGCCAGAGGTTGCAGGAAAGGTGTAAAATGGAGAAACTGCTTAAGGGGTAAGAGATTTTACTTCAGAATGATGGAATCGTTTTGGAACTAGATAGAGATGGGGTAGTTACACAACACTGTGAATGATTTTGGCTCAGGTCATGATCTCACGGTTGCTAAGTTCCAGCCCCGCATCAGGCTCTGTGCTGATAGTGCTGAGCCAGCTTGGGATTCTCTCTTGCCCTCTGTCTCTGCCCCTCCCCTGCTCACTCTCTCTCTCAAAAATAAATAAACATTAAAAAAATTTTTTTTTAAGTGGATCAATGAGTGAACAATATTTCTAAGACTAAAAAAGAAAAACTTTCTCATCCGGTTGGGAATTCAACAAGAAGGACTTCATTATACACTATTTTACAACAAGAACCTGTTTTGCTAAGAGATGTATAATGATGTTGATGAAGCTCATATGTGGACAAATGAAGTGTCCACAAAGATGAACAGATAATGTAGAATGAAAAAAATCACTGGACTAACTCTATTGGTGTTTATAAATCTAAAAGCAAAAAACATTTTGTGAGCAGAGATGATAGCCATCCTCTCTTCAATAAAATTATGAGCTATCAATGTTTTCAAAAGTATTGCAATTGGGAAATGGAAAAGTTCCAGAAATTGATGGTGGTGACAGCTGCACAACGTGAATGTACTTAAAGCCACTATACATCTAAAAATGATTAAAATGATAAATTTTATGTTATGCATACTTTATATGAGGGTTAACATCTATGACTCTGTGTTACAAGTGCCAGGACTCAAATCTTGTTTCTAATACTTACTAGCTCTGTGTCCTGGGGTCAGTTACCTCCCTGAGACTTAGTTTCCTTATCTGCAAAATGGGAATAAGGACAGCATCCACCTTATACAGTTGTTTGGATTAAAGAAGACAATGGACATAAACAACACTTAACATAATGCTTGACATATAGTGAGTAAACAAGGAGTGCTAGCAGTTCTCCTCAGCACCACTTTCCTTAGTATGGCTACAGTTCATACAACAAAGATTTTTCTTCCCACATGCTTTGCCACTTACTGAATTTCAAAACAATAGGTACATTTCACAGTACTAAATGAATTACACTGGAGAAGAGGGACTTGAATTTTGCAGATTTTAGCAAAAGGGTTTATAAAATTAAAGTATTAAACTATGACATAAAAGACAATACTTCCAATTCTTCAAAATAAAAGCCATACAGGGGCGCCTGGATGGCTTAGTTAAGCGTCGGACTTCTGTGCTGATAGCTCAGAGCCTGGAGCCTGCTTCAGATTCTGTGTCTCCCTCTCTCTGCCCGTCTCTCTCTCTCTCTCTCTCTCAAAAATGGAAGGAAGGAAGGAAGGAAGGAAGGAAGGAAGGAAGGAAGGAAGGAAGGAAGGGAGGGAGGGAGGGAGGGAGGGAGGAAGGAAGGAAGGAAGGAAGGAAGGAAGGAAGGACGGACGGGCAGGCCGGCCATAGAAAACTCCTATGGATCTAAACCAAGTTTTTACACCTACCAAAAAGCAGAGGACAGCAAGAGCTCATTCACGATATGATTAACTTTACTTAAAACATTATCAGATAATATGAACAAAGCGTTTAGCCGTAACTAATATGTCATATATAATGTTACAATCCAAATTGGTAACAATACAAAATAAGTATCAGTACTTTCAAAAGGTCGTACATCAAAAGTTGATGATTTTCGGGGCACCTAGGTGGCTCAGTCGGTTGGGCATATGACTTTGGCTCAGGTCATGATCTCAGTTAGTGGGTTCAAGCCCCACATCGGGCTCTGAGCTGACAGCTCAGAGCCTGGCGAATGCTTCAGATTCTGTGTCTCCCTCTCTCTCTGCCCCCGCCCCCTGCTCATGTTCTGTCTCTCTCGCTCTCAAAAATAAATAAACATTTAAAAAAATTTTTAATTTTTTTTTTAAAAGTTGATGATTTTCTACTTCTTCATCTCCCTAAGTTAGTATCTGGTTAGAACCTGATACAGTTAGATTGTTTTCCTGATGGAATTAAAATAAATCAATTCTCAAATACTTATAGGAAATGTATGGAACTATGAATAACTCTAAAAACCGATCCTTCAAAACTATCTTAATCCGGATTTGGAATGTGGCAATTTTTTAACTCTTCAATCTTTTCACAAGGGACAAGGGACACCGTTTTCCTAGTAATTCATAAAATTCAACAAATCATGAAGGCCTTAGTTGTTCGAGTTTATCATTGTTTCTTAGTTCAATTTTCATTTTTTACTCCCCAATCCATGCTACAGTTACATTACTTTTCAGACTAATGCTAAATCCTTTACTCCATATTTGTGATCTCACTGTATTTCTAATTCCTCTACTCTGATTTGTGGAAAGTAATTGGAAATGTTTTTTACTTTCTTAAAGGCTTTCTTCAGTGGAAGAAACAGAGTCGATATTAAAGTTTTAATTATATAAATAGGATTTTGAAAGCAAGATTTTTCCATTTTAGAACAGTAAAGATGGAACTGTTACAAATATCTTTTCTTGTGCTGTCTCCTAATTACAACTTTCAATTAAACATTCATTAAATACAAGTTTCCCTCTCTTATCCAAAAGCAGAATGTTCCCATGAAAATCTTCCTAAGTGGAAATGGTATAAATCGAAGAAAACAGTTACCATTTAGTAAAAGCGAAAATCCTCTTCAGATTTCTATCTGTTAGCAAAAATGGGTATAATGCAGGTCTTCTGTAAAAGTGAAGTGGGGTAAAGCTAACTTTCAGATAGCAGGGAAAACCTGTACTACTTTGTGCATAAGGTGATACAGAAATAGAGCCACTAAGAAACTCAGTTAACTTTCACTGAAAGAATTTATACTCTATCTGGGGAGGCATGATATAAACCCATAAAAAAATACATACAGTGAAAGGCAGCAGGGTAGAGCCAGAAAGGCTCTGAAGGCTATCATACCTCAATTTGAATCTGGGCTTTATGACCTACTCTCCGTACGATCTGTAAAAAGTTACCTTCTTCTCATCTCTAGACTTCATCCATAAAATGGGACAATAATCTACCTCTTGCAAATCAGTGTAAGAAAAAATACAAAGCACCTCTTATAGTGCCTGGAACATTTATAAGGTACTCAGTAATTACTGCTATTGTTATGATCATCTTAGAGCCAGAAGCGATTATTTAATCCAATTCTCATTTTACAGATGGGGACACCAAAATATCACAAAGCAGGATATGAATGTCAAAGGAGTGCAACAAACTGGGTATATGACAAGTTCATTAGTAATAAATCATGTGAATTTTCAGGTCAGACTTTCAGAAGTGGACACTGAATTATGAAATGAACACTCTATATAATGGAAAACAAAAGCACAATCTCTTGTTACTGATAATCAAACATAGGTTGTCAACCTACATACCAAAAACAAGGTTTACATCACAAGCATAAAAATAAACGCAAAAATAAGCTTTACATTAAAACAGCAAAATATTATTTACCAAGCAACCCTGAGGAGAAAAAACAATCTCCCAAAGTCAACAGGTGAGGCTTCATTGAAAGATGACTTCAAAACTGTTTTCTGACAATATCCAGGGTTTTCACTAAATATCACTTCACTGAACACAACACAACTGTAGTTAATGTCCCATTTCTGTTAAATTTGTTTAAAACATATAAACTTTAAATGAGCCAGTTGCTAGCCTTACTGGACAAAACAAGAAAGCCACCATTGTGTTAATTATCTCCACTAACATTGTATTCAGTTCTTTTTTGTTATTTCGACATTATAGTGGCTGACTTATTCCTTTACTCATAAACATTAACTTAGTAATAAAAAACATTTTTGTAGCAATAAAAAAAAAAAACGTACACCTTAGAACTGCATTTCTATGCTAATTTTTAAGGCTTCTTCCCTGCCTTTCCCATGAATCTTTATCAACTTTTAAGTTACCATTTTTTATTTCAAGACTTTTTCATTCGGTCACCAAATTTACATTCCAACTCTTCCGAAAAGTTTACATTATTTTCTTCTCTTGACAGACACAAAAGTACGTCCCAAGGAAAAGTTCCAAGAGGTAACACAGAGCAGATTTCTACTTTACTGAAAACAGGAAATGCTACCTATTCACCAACAACTACTCAATTAGGACAAACTGAAAGTAAGCTAAAAAGCATAGCCGAAAAACCACACTTTGCTTTGGAAAGTTTCAAGGCTAAACACCAGTGCATCTCTGGGGTTTTTGTCCGGTTTTTGAAGGGAGCTGAAATCTTAACACTAAGAAAAAAAGGGGTCAAGGCCCATGGGTAGCACAAGTGATAAAGCAAGCATGCCTTCACTGAAAAAGTGAATTTAATTCTCTCTCCCTTGTTTCCTCTGCCTTCTTTGAAGTTTTTCAACACCGGAGTAACTATCAATAGAGCACACACACACACACACACACACACACAGAGGCCATACACAAGGATTCTCCTGGTGTCGGGAGAAGAGGGTCCCCCAAATGTGATGAATTCAGCGAAGCAGAAACTCCTGGAAGAAGGAGACTACATCCAGAGAGGCCCGAATAACCGGCGAGGAGTACGAAGGAGCCTGGACTCCTCCCTCAGGGCCCAGGCCTCCAGCGGCAACCCGGCTGGGCAACGTGACTCAGGAAGGCGCGGGGCCGGCGGCGGCCTAGCTCGGCTGCCTCCGCGGACCTCCGGGGCCCTGCCTTCCCCGTCTTACCTGAAAGCGGGCGGGGACGGGAGGCCGCGGTCTGGATTCTCGTCTCCCACCTGCGGTGACGCGGAGGCGGCGAAGACGGCAGCAGCTGCAGCGGCGACTCAGACTCCGCCGGGCTCTGGCTCCGCGAACCGGCGATGAATCAGCCCGATTCCATTCAAAAGAGTCGCCCGGGCCTCCGCGGCGAAGCACTTCCGGGTTCACTCCTCTGCTTCGGCTTCCGTTCCCCCGACGGCCAATTGGAGACGGCTCGGGAGTTCGGCGGGCGTCCCGGAGGCCTGCGCCACCCGGACGGCGCGGGCAACCCCGCTTCTCCAGGCTAGGCTGGGAGGGCGGGACGGAAGTTAGCGCCGGCGCCGCTCCCGCCCCGCCGACCTTCCCCCTTTTCCCCCCCCCCCCCCCCACCTTTTTCTCCCCTCCTCTTCGCGTCCAGGCCGCGGTCGAGCTCTGGGACGCCCGCCTACCGGGCCCAGGAGGTGACGGGCTAGGAAATGTAACTACAGGGCTGCAGAAACCAGAACCCCTTTCGTTTGGGTGTTCACCACGGTCCTACTCAAAAACTGAAAGGTTCGTTTGAACTCGGTCATCTGAGAAGCAGAAAAGGGAGGGGTGTAAAGAGAGGGGAAATCGGTCAGGGGTTCTTTTCCACACTGCAGTCTACCCGCCTCCTTGTTTTCGCCGCTTTCCAGGGATTGGATTTCAAGGAAAACCAACGTTTCCCAAATGTTAAATCCACCTATTTTAAGCCCAATTTACAGGGCTCAAAAAAAAGCACTTACTGACGTTTCTCCATAGAATTAGCATCAATAACGTTTCACCCATTATCTGCTCTGTGCTAGGTTTTCAGATAGCAAAACCACCCAAGAAATGACTGATTACTGACGAATTTATATCATACTTCGCAACAGGCTCTGTTTAGGGCAACATGTTCACCAAGTCCCTCTCACTTTATCAAATATATTCCAAATAATGAGCATCTTTAAAGCATTCCTAAATCAAAAATGATGAATCCCCTGGATAGAGGGAAAGGAGGGATTACAGCATGTGAATCCAAAGCTACTTGAGTAGGCATAATTATACTGAATTTCCCTCTTAAAGATAGTCCCATTTCTATCTAAAAAAAACAAAACAAAAACAAAAACATGGGTTATTTTAACCATAGGTAATCCTATATTTGGATCAACATCTTTATGTTTACCCCCAAACCTGTTCCTCTTCTATTTGCTTTTTTTCAGTGAATGAGCCTATCCTTCAGCTGGTTTCCCTAATCAGCCCTACGAGTTGACATTTCCCTCTTATTCACCTATTCCCACTGGCCTCCCAACTAATAACCCTAGAAATCATGAAGGATTTAAATCTATAAAAGACCTTTTCCAATCCACCACTCACCTTTTACCATTCCCTCTGCTTCAACCTTAACTCAAACCTTCATTACTTTTTTCCTAGAATGCAGCAATAATTTTAATCTCCCTGCCTTCAGTTTGTCCCCCTTCAATGCATTCTCCATTTAATTAACAGATTTTTTTTCAGCTACATAAGTACAGTCATGCCCCTTTGCTTAAAATTTCACCAGTGACTCCCCCAACAATCAATACAAAGGTCAAAAATCTCTCAACTTTGTTTAGAACACTCTTGCTTCCAGCCATACTAAAGTATTTAGCTAAGGAATGAGATGTCCATAGGGTCTATGAAAAACTCTGAGTCATTCCTGGGAATCTAGAAGGTAATATGCATGCTTAGGGGCGTGTGCCTATCTAGGGCCCTGTATATGCTGGGAAAGACCTGAGAAGGCCCCGAGCTCTCACTTCTGTCTGACCTTGAGGCTCTACAAAAGCAAGAAGTGAAAACTAAAACAGAGGAGTAAACTCCCTGGCTCAGTGTTGAAGGCCTGCCCCAACACATTTACTAAGCCCCTCAACAAAGACTAGGAGAATTATTGGTTGAAGACATTTAAGGAAATCTCTGTCCAGTCATCAGATGATCACTAAGCTAACTGCAAAGACTTCACTGGTTACACACAACAAAGAATATAGACTTTAAGGAATGCATTCAAAAAAGTCACTAAATCAACAACTACTCTAACAGACAAAAGCCCTGGGGAGAGAGAGTCTGATTTCCAAAGTTCTCACATTATATTATTTGAAATGTCCAGTTTTCTTTCTTTTTTTTTAAATAAAGACTTTATTATTATTTTTTATTTTTTTAAATGTTTATTTATTTTTGAGAGAGACAGAGACAGAATGTGAGTGGGTTAGGGGCAGAGAGAGAGGGAGACACAGAAGCAGAAGCAGGCTCCAGGCTCTGGGCTGTCAGCACAGAGCCCTACGCGGGGCTCGAACTCACGAGCTGTGAGATCATGACCTGAGCCTAAGTTGGACGCTCAACCGACTGAGCCACCCAGGGGCCCCAAAATGTCCAGTTTTCAAAATAAAAAAAAATTTTCAATACAATACATGCAAATAAGTAATAATGTATGGCCCATACACAGAGAAATAAGCAATTAATAGAAACTATCCCTGAGAAAGCCTATGTGTTGAACTTCCTACATAAAGACTTTATATAAGATATTTCAGGGGCTCCTGGGGTGGCTCAGTCAATTGAGTGTCTGACTCTTGATTTTGGCTCAGGTCATGATCCCAGGGGCATGGTATCAAGCCCTGTGTTGTGCTCCACGTTGAATGTGGAGCCTGTTTAAGATTCTCTCTGTCTCAGCCTGCAGCCTATTTCAGATTCTGGCTCTGGCTCTCCCTGCCCCTCCCCCACTTGTGCTCTGTCTCTCTGTCTCTGAAATAATTAAACATTAAAAAAAAAAAAAAAGATTCTCTCTGCCTCTTCCTTGCACGGCCTCTCTCTCTCAAAAAAAAAAAAAAAAATTACATACATTCACAAAGCTAAAAGAAACCATGTCTAAAGAACTAGAGGAAAGTATGAGGAGACTATTTCACCAAATAGATAAAATCAATAAACAGGAATTATTTTTTAAAAATTGTCAAGTAGAAAAGTATAATAACTGAAGTAAAAATTTTATTACAGGAGCTCAATAGCAGATTTGAGCAGATAGAAAAAAGAATCAGCAAATTCAAATATAGATTTAGTTAAGATGATCAAGTTTGGGGAACAAATAGAAAAGAAAATGAAGAAACATGAATAGAGTCATGGAAGTCTGTAGAATATAATCAGGCATACCAACGTATGTATAATGGAAGTCTTAGCAGAAAAAGAGAAAAAGGCAGAAATATTTGAAGAAATAATGGTCTAAAACTTCCTAAATTTGATGAAAAACATTAATCTATACATCCAAGAAGATTAATAAATTCCAAATGGGATAAACTCAAAGAAATCCACACCTGGACACATTATAATCAACCTACTGAGAACTAAAGCCAAGGAGAAAATCTTGAGAGTGTCAAGAGAAAAGCCACTCATCACATAATCCTCAATAAATTTTACAACCAAGGCTGTGGAAGCAGAAAGCAGTGGGATGACGTTCAAAATGCTGAAAGAAAAAAAAATATCAACCAAGAATTCTATATCTAGGAAAACTATTCTTTAGAAATGAAGGAGAAATTAATATATTCCCAAAATATACGTATAAACAAAAATAGAGATAATTAGTTACTAGAAAATGTGCCCTGCAAGAAATATTTAAGGGAGTCCTTCAGGTTGAAATGAAAGGACACTAGACAATAACGCAAAGCCACATGAAGAAATAGAGGACACTTGAAAAGACAGCTACATAAGTAAATGTACAAGACAGTTTAAACATATTTTTTGTTGTAATTTTTACTACATGACTTAAAAAATAACTGCATAAAGCAATAATAATAATTCTGTGTTGGCATATTATGTATAAAGATGTAATTTGTATCACAATAACACAAAGGAGGGGGGAGGGAAGGAAGCTATATAGTAATAAAGTTTTTGTATACTATTAAAATTAAGTTGGTATTGGGGCACCGGGGTGGCTCAGTTGGTTAGGCATCCTATTCTTGGTCTTGGCTCAGGTAATGATCTCAAGGTTTCCTGAGTTTGAGCCCTGACTCAGGCTCTGCACTGACAGCATGGAGCCTGCTTGGGATCCTCTCTCTCCCTCACTATCTGCCCCACCCCCACTTGCTCTGTGTCTGTCTCTCTCAAATAAACTTTAAAAAATAAATGAATAAATAAATAAATAAATAAAAATAAAAGTAGCTATTAATCTGAACTATATGGTTATAACTTAGGAAGTAATTGTAATCCCCAAAGCAACTACTAAGAAAATAGTTAAATGATATATAATAAAAGAAATGACAAGGGAATCAAAATGGTACACTAGATTTTATGTATTTAACAGAAAAGGCAGCAGTAATGAAGGAATAGAACAACAGCATAAAAAAAAAACGATGACATGAAGAAAATATATAGCAAAATGTCAGGTGTAAATACTACATTAACAGTAATCACATTAAATATAAATGGATTAAACATTCTGATTAAAAGGCAGAAATCTGCAGAATGTATTTTTATTATGTTTTACTTTTTCCTAAATGTTTGTTAATTTTTGAGAGAGACAGAGCATAAGCAGAGGAGGGGCAGAGAGGGAGAGGGAGACACAGAATCTGAAGCAAGCTCCAGGGTCTGGTCCGTCAGCACAGAGCCCAACATGGGTTCGAGTCCACGAACCATGAGATCATGACCTGGGCCTAAGTCTGATACTCAACTGACGGAGCCACTCAGGCACCCCTGCAGAATGTATTTTTAAAAAGATACAACTATCTGCAGTACAAGAGACACATTCTAGATTCAAAGACAAAAAATATGGAAACCAAAAAGATGAAAAACATATATACTATGCAAACAGAAACTAAAATGGTACAACCACTTTGGACATTGTCCTATTTTTTTTTTTTATATATATAAAGTTAAAAATACAACTACCATTTGCCCTAGCAACTCCACTGTATGTATTTACCAAAAAAAAAAATAAATAAATAAAAACATAAATCCACACCAAGACTTCCATGTGACAGTTTATAGCAGTTTTATTAATAATAGCCCTAAACTGGAAATAATCCAAATGTTTCCCAAATGGTAAATGGATAAAGTGTAATATGTCCTTATAATGCAATAATACTCAGTAATAAAAAGGAAACTAATGATAGGTGCAGCAACAAAGATGACTTTCAAAAACATCATGCCGAGGAAAAGAAGTGAGACCAAAAGAGTACATACTGTATAACATCATTTTAATCAAACTCTAAACAAATGAAATCAAATATATAGTAACAGAAAGCAGATC